GTGGGTAACAATGAAGTACCTCCCAAGAATTCAGGCTGTCTTCTGAGAATGAAACTAATGATGAATCCTACGCAGAGTATAGGATTAGCCATAGACAGAAATATACCAGGTAATTGCCTATAAATCTGTGACTGAGGAGTTGGGAGCATTCAAGACTTCAACAAGGTAATCTGGGTTTAATTCTAGGGAAAAAGGGATTGGAATGAAATTGCACTTTAGTAGGCTAAAGTCTAATTGATTGTATCATTCTACTAGGGAGAGATTATATGAGCAGATATCAGTCTCTGGAACATAGTAAAAGAAAGCCTGAGAGCCTGAAGTTGGCAGTGTTTATTTTGCCTTAATAAGGAAAAAATGAATCTGATGGTAGGAACTAGAGAGATGGATTCTTTTATGAGGGGTTCCGTTAAACCTTCATGGACTGGAAACATCTCTCAAAACGTTTATCTCCCTTTTGTTCTGATTCCGTGTTGAAGCAATTTTTGATCACTAATCTAATTTTTAGGTATTTGATACTGGGGTCAGTGGGTAGTTTACCTAGATAAGGACTTGGAACCTTCCAAGTATAAGAAAAGTATATCCTCTGTTGTAAATTAATAAATTGGTGAATTGTGTCTATCACCGAACCAATCACTAAATTGACAGTCTGATTAATGTATTTTGGCATGTAAGCATCTGCATGCTGAAGGCTCCTACATTTGTATCTTCAGTTTACACCCCTTCTCTGAGCTACAGACTTACATATCCAACTGCCTACCTGACATTTGCATTCAAGACTGTGGGCTAGACCATTTCTCTTGTTTAATTCACCCAATAAACTGAGGAGATAAGCCATTAATGTTTCAACTATAAAAATCCTACACCCCAGCGTAACAATTTTTATGTTCCCTTTTCATCTGTGTGCATATGAGACATAATTTTACATAATTTCAATCATAGTGTACATATCATTTTTACATTTTGCTTATATATATATATGTTTTTATGGTTAAAATTTTTATGGTTAAAACTATTGCATGCTTATAGAAAAATAAGGGAAAAAACTACCAAAGCAAATGATCGTTGTGTGATATTACTACCACACAGAGATAGGCACTGTTAACATTTCAGTGTATTTCTTTTTTTTTTTAATTTTTATTTTATTTATTTATTTATTTTTGGCTGTGTTTGGTCTTCGTTTCTGTGCGAGGGCTTGCTCTAGTTGCGGCGAGCGCGGGCCACTCTTCATCGCGGTGTGTGGGCCTCTCACTGTCGCGGCCTCTCTTGTGGAGCATGGGCTCCAGATGCTCAGGCTCAGTAGTTGTGGATTACGGGCCTAGTTGCTCCGTGGCATGTGGGATCTTCCCAGACCAGGGCCCGAACCCGTGTCCCCTGCATTGGCAGGTAGATTCTCAACCACTGCGCCATCAGGGAAGCCCAGTGTATTTCTTTATAGTCACATATGTGCATAAAAATTAACATTTTGAGATTAAGATTATATTCTATATATACATTTTGCAGCTTTTACACTTGATGAATGTTAAACATTTCTTTGTCTTTTAAAATACTTTTTGTAAACATTTAAAAGCATTATTCTATCATTCAGATGTACCACATAATCATTTTAAGTTGTTTGTAGTTTTTCATTATTAATGCTTTACAAAATGCCATATTTAACTAAGAGAGATGACTGGGCCAGAAATTATCCTGCTTTGGGATCACATGGGAGAAGGACAAATGGTTAACTCATTCTTTCTTTGTGGTACTCCAATAAATAGACCTGTTTGAGGAAAAAAAAAAAGTTCTCTCAACTATATTAGGTCCAACAGTAATTTCTTTCCCAACTTCCATTAGCAGTTCAGGAAAGAAGTGAATTTGAGAATTAGAGGACAGTTGTAGCGGAAAAATGTCAAAATGAAACGTTTCCCATTCCTTTAGGGCATCTGAATTTCCTCTCCGGATTTTCCATTTAGGTTACTCTGCTCATTACATGATCATGAAGAAGAAAAAAGCCCAGCTCCATGAATTTTATCCAATTTAGAGATTATGTGATGGTCTAAAATTTTAAACATGGGTTATATAATGTATATAGAATATTTTGGTTCCTGGGGTATTGAACGATAGGCTATCAACCTCCAGAATCAGCTGAAGTAGGTTTGAGAGACCCAATAACCATGATCAGAGAAAGCAGTGGCTTCCCACAGGAGCTCCAAACACAGAGGGTGGATATTTTGAGTTACAGGCATGTGCTGACAACTTTGCGTATGCATGTGTGTGAGAGAGAGACTGAGAATAAAGGTTAGTAATTCTCTCAGGAAACTTCAGGTAGGGCAGGTTTTTTGAACATAAATCTTTGTTTGACTTGTCAAGTTTTTTCTTTAGATTCCTGGCTTATTTTCATTCAAAATAATTGTTTATTATATTCATTTCCCTCAATATAGTTTTCTCTATTATTAAAACATCTGAAAATAAAACATTAACCTGCAATCCATAGCAGTTTAGATTATTTCTAATTTTTAGAATCTGTGTTAAGCATTTTTTTTTTTTTTTTTTTTTTTGGGTTT